TTGATGATGCAACCGCAATTATGATCGATGAAAGTGCAAAAGACATGACTTTTTGTTGCATCGTTTCAGTTATTCATGAAAGACGTWATACAGGAGGGTGATCGAAGAATAGCAACTGASTGGGTTGATTTTGTTTTCTTTTTGATAAATACTCATTAAATATGAGACAGATGTTTTACTTCTATAGTTGGAATAGAACTCTCAAAAAGAAATTTCTCTTAAATCGTCTCAAAAACACAAGCAACTCAGTAGTTRATAMATTTTGTTACAATAAAGTTATAGTATAGCCAACTTACCGATAAATAATTGGCATTGCTTTCCAGCGAACTCTTTTTTGCACGTGCAGCGATAGTTCTGATTATCGTTATAGAACACGCATTGGCCCTCATTATGGCAAGGCTTCTCTTCGCAAGGATTCTAATAAGGAAATCTATCGTTGAACTGCATTTCAATTATCAATAATACTGGGGTTAAATGAATTTGSCCGGGTGTTCGATATATTAACCAACTTTATGAATTGTGAAATTAAAATTTTCGAACTTATAATCCGTATATCCAACAAATATATTCCAATTTTCCGCGCGTCTGTACTCTAAATCGACRCCATACCAAAAAAMGAACGCCACGAGACGYAGTCGAGTACTGATGAGCTGGAAAATGGAATGTTTTCTCTTTATACAGTATTTTCCACTGGATTTTATCATTTTCCGAGCGCACGTATAGTTTTATTGAAATGGCTGAAGAAAAGAAAACACTGTGACATGAATTCACTATTCTTAATGCAATCTTTATGTTTCACAGTTACGTGTTGTTAATTTAAGTCTCTACCTTTATRCATAGAAAAGAAAACAGTCTTTGTAGATTTTTTTGTTTATAACAGTTAGTCATGATCACACCATTAAAAACAATGTACTTGATGATCTAAACACACGGGAGACATGAGCCATACTGGTAGAGCCAAGGAAATAAGTTTTTTCAACTTCGTTAAATCTTGAAAGACAAGGTTCCTTTTATTTTGTAAGTAAAATCTTTAAAGCTTTTAAGTTGCAACTGATTGCTACCAAATTGAATATAAYTTACTACTTAGACGGAATTTGATGATAAATGCCTTTGTTTACAATAAAGACAATGATGATKCCTTTTCACTAATGAGTTAATCTAAGCTATTGTCCCGTGGGTGTCARGTCTCAAGTGTATCTAATGTTTCTATTGTATTATCTTGACGATATTCTGGTTGGGTGCCTGACAAATAAAAACTAGAACCGTTTTCATTTAACTAACTAAATACTARCTAAATAATTATTTTCATTACACTGTCAAATAAAATTACCGCYAGAAACGTAGCATGGAAGATACTTGATTTTTGAAATCGTTTTGTCTTCTAATTCTGTAATATTTTTTACTAACCTTTATCTGCAGAAACTTTGAATTGATTTTCGGCACGAGATATTGTTCGTAGCCTGTTCCTGTCCAATTCAGCAACTCACAACGTAGACTCGTTTGGTCCACAGTGATGAAATTCACTGACAAACATTCCTTGTTTTGTACGCACTTGAAACAACATTCCTTTTTGCTCTTGGTAGTTTCATTTGATAAAAGACTTCCTGGTCTCGAGAAAAACTTTCCATCTGCACTTTCATAAAAGTCTCGAATGACTACTTTGTCATTATTGTCAAGATTTAGCATAGACCGTGTGGTTTTAAAAGCGAAAATATATACAGAAAAGAAGAGAAAAGTCCGGAGTGTCATGACCTCATAGCCTGGTGTTAATAACATAATGGATGGGAACACCTGCAACACAACAGTTTGCGCCTTTCAGTGGGTACCGGAATTCATTATGACTAGTTAAAGTAAACCCCAGCCCCCCGAACCCCGGGAAATACCGGGAAAGTTAACGTTTGAGTGGTGTTAAAATAGGACATTTCCCCCAGTAGTCGGGGGCACATTCATTGTTAAAATCCCCGCTACTGTTGCACCGCTATTTTGGTCTAGTAGTAAATAACAAAACAGTCACCTTTCAAGCAAATTTTCTCTGATACACAGGGTTAATTTTTGCACARTCCTGTGAACTCTGACCAATCACCGTAAGATTGAAGGGGGTTATCCGCCCGTATCTACGTTAACAACACACCTTCTCGACCAATCTAATAGCGCGTAATATAGCAAATATATATCATATAGGCAACACAAATATGATATGATTTGTAATTGTGTTAAGGCATGTTGTTGAGTTCCTATTGTGTTAAATTCTTAATAACGTGGGCGTTTTCCAAAATAAATATTTGTTTTCATTGTTTTTCCTCATTTAGACAACATCATTACTATAGAATCTTGAAAGTGTACATCCTCTGAATTGATCCGGCATGCCATGGATTTTCTATTCTTTATGCAATCTTTGTGTTTCATAGTTACGTGTTGTTAATTAATTYTATGTTCAATAAATTTCTTTTAAAATTTTTTGAATACCAATGCTTTTAGGGTATTTCTCAAGATGGTCGACCTCTAGTTTCAAGTCCATACATGTTCAAACTCGCGTTAAAATCCCCGCTCTTTACCCCGCTTCGAAAACAAGTCATCAATTCATCCCGACCCCGGGGCAATCTTACGTTACAAACGCGTCACGTCCCCGTTCAGTGCCCCGCTAGCCCTGGGGGTCGGGGGTCGGGGGTTTCAATTGACTAGTGCCATTGAATCATGTCTAGGTTCTTTGTAATTCGGGGTATTGCTTAGATTCTTCTTCTTTTCCATGGTTTTAAGATATTTTGTTTTACACAGAGGATTCAACTATACGAAAGGTGGACCATTGTCAGTATAGTAAAGTAATGGCTGGATATTGGACGGGCCAACGCCAGCCAATCAGAATAGAGCAAATGCATATAGTCCATGATTGTAGGTGTACAAGTATTCAGAAAACGTTATAAAATATCAATAGTTCATACTAAATTGTGCAATTCATTGTTGCTATTAATTCCACTTTATATAGCTACGTTAATGACAATTCTAAACTTATAATTGCTTTTATTTGAAGTTCTTGACTGGAAGGAGATTGTATATAGTCACTCTGAGACCAAGAAAACGTCACTCCAACATCGATAGAACTTCCAACAATGTATTTCGGTCTTGGATGTGCTATATCCAGTGTTCAAACTTTTCTGACACAGCTGTGTATAATAATTTACAAGAACTACTTGCAGCTATAAGAATGAAGAGTGCTGAACTTTTTATCCATTCCCATTTTGTAGAAATGAAACAGTATTAACAGTGCAAGAATGATGTTGAAATATATATTAAATATATATATAACAGTGTTCAGGTGATCGGTATACACGAAATCTTACGCTTACTCGGCAATGTTCTGGAGAGTACTTCAACGAGGTTTATGCTGCAAGTGTACAACTATATTCCTATATGTACAACTACTTGCACTACCCAGGAACAGCTGTTTCAAACTGTATAATCTTCGTGGTAATAAAAAACCTCGACATCATTCGGCGTAAACGAATGTGAGCCAGCAAAGTAAGTACAGGCTGCACCAATACTACAACCAGGCGGGGGTTGGTAGCTGTTTACTATCGTGTAGGAATTTGCATTAGTATTAGCAAGATTAGCAATATATAGGTCATGCAATCCCAATCCAAATGTTGGTCCATATCCTGCATTGCCATATATAGCATAAATCTGGTGGTTTGGTCTTGTTAGGTTCAACTTGATGGGTTGATATCCTTTGGTGTTGTACAGCGAGAATAGGAAGGATCTTGATGACTTGGTATGGGCTGCAACTATTTGATTAAAATCAATCAAGCAATCAAAAAAAAAAAAAATCAAAAAATCAATCAATCAATTAATTCAATCCCTCCGTCCATCTATTATTAATAAGACTAAGCCACCGTATCACAGATTTTGCAAATACACAATCCACTAACCCTAACCGGGTCATCATCATCAAGTCACGATTTCACTTAAAATAATCCTTCTCACTTACCACTAAACCAGGATTTATCGGTGAATCCACCAAACACGTACTGACCAACACGAACTATCGTCACCGTGGCTTTCTTTCCGTTACATTGAGGATGGAATGTGAGTCGAGTATCCCATCCATCTTCAGCGGCGTGCCAACATCTCACCCATTGGTTTGGATTGTATTTATGTAATGTAGTGTCTAAGAAGCCTGTCAGAGTCTTGACATAGGAATCATTGCCATGATTAGCAAGGATCACAGAATTCTCTAACCCTCCTGAAAAATGGAATTAATTGCTAAGCCGACTTTTTTAATTAAGGGTCGGTTAACACTGCGACATAAACATATTTTAARAAGATTGAATGGGTCCTGAAGTCGAACATAGAAAGAAATAGTTCATCTTAGTTGAAACCCTGAAAACTTCATACGAGATATTTTCTTMATATGTTATATGCCRAGTGCTTTTTGTGAAATTATATATGCACGGACATTTTGAAAATTGTTTTCAAACTCTGACTTACGGGATTTATTGTCGTAATAAAATACCTCCACGTCGTTTGGAGTAAATCCATGGCGACCAGCAAAGTAAGTACAAGCTGCACGAATGGTACAACCAGGCGGGGGTTGGTAGCTKTTTACTATCGTGTACGAATTTACATTATTAATTGCTAGATTAGCAAYATACAGGTCATGATATCCTATTCCAAATGTTGGTCCATATGCTGCATTGCCATATATAGCATACTTCTGGTGGTTTGGTCTTGTTAGGTTCAACTGGATGGGTTGATATCCTTTGGTGTTGAACAGCGAGAATAGGAAGGATCTTGATGACTTAGTGTACATTCCAGCACCTCAAAATAGAAGAAGCGAATAGTCAAGTCTYTCAAGTCTTTATCAGCGTGTACGCAGGGCTATTGATGACAGTTTCGGGAGAGACTACATTTGGAGAAGCTAAAACATTTCGAATCCAGTGTTTGGGAAGAGTGTGAGAACCTGATACAATCGGGGATCCTCATTGAGTTCATTGTGTACATCACTTTTATATGCCTTACTTTTCTCATTAATTCCAAATCACCGATGAATGCCGGGTTGCTCTTCTAAAAATTACTTGGACATTTTTTTTAATTTCATTTTTACAAGAGCTAACAAATAGCAAATCTAGTTATTCTATCGGTCAACTCACTATGCCATGATTTATCGCTGAATCCACCAAACACGTACTGACCAACACGAACTATCGTCACCGTGGCTTTCTTTCCGTCACACTGAGGATGGAATGAGAAACGAGTATCCCATCCATCTTCAGCGGCGTGCCAACATCTCACCCATTGGCTCGGATTGRATTGATGCAACGCGGTATCTATAAAAAGTTCCAGAGTCTTCACGTAGCTGTTGTTACCGTAGTCAGTGAGGATTGTGGAATTCTGAAGTCCTCCTATATGAATCAAGACGTGATCTTAATGAATACAGATTGTTAATTTAATTTTGATCTTATTTCAATTTGTATTAATAAGTATAGGCAGAATGAAGAGTATCAAGCTCTACATTTGACATTTTTGATTAATTTGACTGCAGAATCATTTTGCCTGAGATAAAAGTTTCGCAATAGAGCCAAGTGTCAAGTGTCAATCAATATGTTAGCCATCATTCGGATTATTTTACCGATGTTTTAACTGTCATCCTTCAACAAATTGACGTTAACTTATTGATATTAAGTAATGGTCCGAGTAAGAAGCAGGCAAGCAAACGGCAATGGAATGCATGAAGGTGCTAATTGTGTATTGTRTAATCCATCCATCTCATTGGTCATCCAAAACATTAAAATTTGACATAATTTCAAAAGTAAGCGCATTTTTTAATATTATAATATATAATATTTTATTTAATATCTGATTCCGACTTCATAAAAGCTTTCCTTAGCTTTAATATTAATAGCAATTCTATGTGGGAAACATAGCGAATTAGAAGTATTTTTTGGCTATTGCTTTGAGTGCTTATGATTGGACAAGATCTTTTAATACAAAAGAAACTTTGTTTCAAAACAGAGTTTATCAACATTTTATTTTAAAAATGTGTTACACATAGGTTTATATATAATCAGTGTGAAGACCAAGACATTCGTATGTGGGGAAGTTGCAATTGCCGCAGAACAATAGAAAGTTTCCTGCTTTTTGCGCGCATTGTTACTTAATTCTCATCAAAAGCAATCATTGCTATTGTATATAACTGTACTRGTCAGTGAATGATGTTAGTATAKGGTTGTTGTTGTTGTTGTTGTTGTTTTATTTTTCTTATCACGCTGACTTACTTGTCTGTCCGGTGTAATAGAACACTTCCACATCATCTGGAGTAAACGATTGTGAACCAGAAAAATAAGTACATCCTGCACCAGTGCTACAACCAGGAGAAGGGTGGTAGCTATTTGCCACTGTATGTGAATTTGCATTATCTATAGCAAGAGTAGCTACATGCAGATCATGCATTGCTAATCCAAATGTTGGTCCATATGCTGCATTGCCATATATAGCATACTGCTGGTGGTTTGGTCTTGTTAGGTTCAACTGGATGGGTTGATATCCTTTGGTGTTGTAGAGGGAAAATACGAACGATCTTTCAGACTTGACATAGGCAGCGGCTATTGGCAAATAGATATTAGTGAGGTTATTGTACATGGACTCAATTAACGTGAGTTCAGTGGTTTAACGCTCCCTCCATTTACGTTTCAGCTCATTATTAATCCGTCTAGGTATTGATCTAGATTCTTCTTTGCTGATCCACTTACCACTATGCCAGGATTTATCGGTAAATCCACCAAACACGTACTGACCAACACGAACTATCGTCACCGTGGCTTTCTTTCCGTCACATTGAGGATGGAAASTGAATCGAGTGTCCCATCCCTCTTGAGAGCCGTGCCAACATCTGATCCAGTCCCTTGGACTTGTCTTGTGGAACGTGGTGGCTATGAAACCTGTCAGTGTCTTTAAGTAGCTCTGGTTGCCGTAATTAGACAGTATAGTGSAGTTTTCTAAGACTTTTTTAAAAAAGGGAATTCTCATTTTAGCAAGTATTTAATTTCATATTTTTYAGTTCGTAAACTTACCAATCGCCTGGTCTTGCTTGTTATGATCCACTGATTGACCTGGAAAATTGAGGATTGACAGATGAAACCTGTCAGTGTCTTTAAGTAGCTTTGTTTGCCGTAATTAAAAAGTATAGTAGAGTTTTCTAGTCCTTTTGAAACTGATAAGAAAATTATGACACTTAGATTGAACATCTAATTGCTAAAACGCGCGTTGTCATAGAGGAATATCATTACTTTTAATTAGCGGGCTAGCTGTGCTAGCCAGCTATAGTTTTACCTTTCGCACTCTGTCGGGTCGAAGTTTCCAGTCTCTCT